TAATCAATAATTTTGATTAATTGAATGCTGATTCAATATTGATTAATCTAAAGGTTAACAGGTGGARCAGGTCAGCCCTACATGGAGAAAACAGCTGCGTCCTAACAGAAGGGCTGGAGATATTAATTCTACAAATTAAAGGACAATTACAGCATTCCACAGACAAATTCTGCTATCTCAAATAATCTCAAATAGCAATAAATATATAAAAAATAAAATGTATCGAAAATAAAATATATAAAAAATATCTCAAAAATAAAATATATAAAAAATAAAATATATCAGAAATAAAATATATAAAAAATAAAATATATCAGAAATAAAATAAAACAGAAATAAAATATCTAAAAAATAAAATATCTAAAAAATAAAATACCTAAAAAATAAAGTATATCAAAAATAAAATATATCAGAAATAAAATATCTCAAAAATAAAATATATCAGAAATAAAATATATCAAAAATAAAATATAAAGAAAGGAAGCAGAGGTTGCTGCAGCCCCAGCGACACTGACCTGGATGGGAGGGATGTCAGGCAGGGAGGGCAGGTTCTCCGGGTTGGTGACGGACGGGATGAGCTCGATGGCCGAGACGCTGGGGCTGGTGGGGCCACGGTTGGCGCTGGCCATGGTGGCCGTGGTGGGGCTGGTGGGGTTGATGGTGGTGTTGTGCACGGAAACCACCGGGAAGGGCCCGGCGTGGCCGGGGTTGGAGTGCTGGGGAGACAGGAGACAGCGGGCTGGGTTCRGGGTCACCACGGGGACACTGCAACCCCACTGGGGACAGAGCTCAACCCCACAGAGTCCCAGCTAGCACAACTCCTGGCAGCACTGAGTGCAGAGCAGCTCTGAACATTCTTCACTTGCACAGGAAAATACTTCATGTGGCTAGATTTAACTAGACAGAACTTCCACCAAATTATTTTCATCTATATTCTACTTTCTTAAAGCAATTATTTCCTCCAAAGACAGCTTTAGAGTTCACATAACTGACTCTTTTTTTTTAAGATAAAAGTAACTGTTTCAAGTAATATAAAGTCACTTTTGGTATTTCAGTCACGTTAACATTCATTGTCGAGGATTTTTATTCTTAATGGCATGCAGAGCTCTGCACMAATGCTTCAGGTGTGAATTTAAAAACACTTCAGAAGTTGATTTAATCAAAACCCCTCAACTACATCACTTTGAAATTCACTATTCTCTAATAAACCTCTCAATGTTCTTTTAGCTGAACACAACTGAAAAGTGCAAAAGGAACATTTTCCTTCCCAGAACTAAACCACAACACAAACGTGATGTTTCATTTTCACCCTTAAGGTTTGAATTTCCTTATGTTCAGCAAAACTGTCACAGCAATGCAACATGGAACAGAAGCATAGAAAYGTGTGTAGCTGTGAGCTACAGGGGGACAGATAAACACATTTACAGCTGGAGGTACCATCTACTGGAATGAAATCTGGCACAATGGCACAAATGAAGCGTGTACACAGGATATACTTGTCTTTGAAGGTGAGGTTGCATCATGGAGTATTGAGGTCCATTGTGGCGTGGGATTCCTGGAATACGAGCAGCATTCTGAGCCATTCTCATCTGATGTGCTTGGAAAGCCCCACAGTTCATGTTACCCCTCTGCATGGTCTGCATGCTGATCAACCTGGGAGGCTGCAAGGGTTTGTGTTTTTTAAAATTTTTGCTTTGAACATGGAGAAAAGAAGCCCATCTCTTTCCACAGCAGTAGTAACACAACATCAAGCAAAGCCAACAGCTGTCCCATTAAAGCATGGCAAATCTCAAAGGATTTTAGCTTATAAATTGCTTCGTAAATTTAGATTTGATAGGGCARTTTTAAATCTCAGTGTCATGGCAGAAGGTGAAATAAGGACACAGAAGGGACTCACCTGCTGCTGCAGGACTTGAGGGCTGCTCTGCCTGGGCACKGATGCAGATGGCTGGGCCATCCTCATCTGCTGCAGCTGCTGGTGCTTTTGGGCATACACTTGCTGCTGCATGTGCTGCAGTCGAAGCTGGGCCAGGTTGATTTGTCCTGGAGTTTTGCTGATGTGGTTTGTCCCCGGAGGAGTTTGCCCAACCACTACATTGGGAGTGTAACTAGGGGTTGGTTTATTTTCGATGACCAGGTTACCTAAAAAAAAAACCAAAAAAAAAAACCCGAAAGAACCAATCAACAGTTAGATCTCATCATCATCCCAAGGCTGGTAAATGCACAATATTCACAATTCTAATGCTCTTCCCTCAAGCACAATAACAAAGCAAGTTATGCTTGAAATTTCCTTTTTAAGTCTTCAATAACCACATGTGAGAAAAGCAAAAAGAGAACTCAGACTACAAGAAGAAATGGCAAAATTAAAAAGATGATCCACGAGGGAAGAATGAAAGGACTGGAAATGCACAGCTTAAAAGCCACAGCAGACAGAAATTATTTCTCTGCATTCAAAACAAACGGACAAGAGGAGAAATCAAACAGAAAATAAACATGTTGAGCATGAAGTTTTTATATCCAAGGGATTTGGGGGACAGTGGGGAGTGTCCCAGCACWGAGTGACTTGGAACAGGTTATATAAACAGGACACAAAACACTGCTAYAGGCAAATCCTGCCTTGCTTCAATGCTGTGGACCATGCTGCCTCCTTGGATAACTCCTGTCCTATTTTTATTTGGAAAAGGCTAAATGTTGATTTTTGACTGTAACTGTGAACAGATTGGAATCTGCACATCCCTTTTTAATAAGGTTGAGAGTTTCCTTTTTATTGCCCCAGGGAACAAACCTCCTCGACTGAAGACAGGAACACCCCAACCTGGAGGGTGGGCTCAGAGCAAGAAGTGAGTACACCCAAAAGCTGGTATTTTTATCAGATTTTCTGTTAGATTTTCATCCAGCAGAGAAGTTCACAAACAGATGTTAACAGCAATCTCTGTCTCAAAGGGCTCTCCCTTCTTCTCTCATTCCAAACCTGCACTTTTGTAAGTCAAAGTGATATATTTAATGTATTGGAAAAGGCACAGGGTGTCCAGAGAAGCTGTGGCTGTCCCTGGATCCCTGGAAGTGTCCAAGGCCAGGCTGGACAGGGCTTGGAGCATCCTGGGGTGGTGAAAAATGTCCCTGCCCATGGCATGGGTGGGACTGGATGATTTTTAAGGCCTCTTTCRACCCAAACCACTTCATGTTTCTGTAATTAGGGAATGTGAACCATTCCCACTGGAAAACAACATCCACTCAGAGCCAGCTTTGCTAAGAGAAAGGACAGAGCAGATCAGGAATGGATGGGTTATGTCGAGAGAGTTTTGGTCTGCATTAAGAGATTGCACTGATCTCACTCCTGATGGATGAACAGCCCCAGTTGAACAGAGTTTTCCCAGTAACACAGAATGAACGAGCAGAGTTTCCTCACCCAAATTGACGACGTTCTTGGCCCAGAAGGTGGGGTCACAATGGAAGCGGATGGCTCCGTTGGCAGCCGGGACGGGGTCGCATCGCGCCTTCAGGATGTGCCGCAGCTGGAACGTTATCTAGGGGAAAGCACAAAATGAACAGTGAGAAATGAGAGGTGTGCACTTCCACAGAGAGTTCAGGCTGTRGAACACCAAGGACYGGCAGCAGCAAGTTTGGTTCACTGRAAAATTCACCAGGAAAATCATCCACAAACTTTTGTACTCTGAGGAATAGAGCAGCGCTGTTCCACCACAACACTGCTGCACTGTTCCACCTCCAGCCAAACACTGAGGGGCCTTTAGAGTCTGACCCCATTCCTTCCAGACTAATGCTCCTAAATCCTAATGGTWAACAGTGAATTGTTTCACAACTGCTTGTCTCTGCTGTGAAATCTGGAGTTGAAGATACGGTGCCACAATGGGCCGTGATGGTGGTGATAAAGGACCCACGTGGCAGAACTGGTGCACCCTTTGGATGAGCAACATTTGACCTCATTTGTGCCTTAATCTCACTCTGGGTACAGTGGAATCCCCCTGCCCCTCTGTGCTGGCTTARGACACGCTGCCAAGGGCAGGAAAGATGGGTGCTGATGTCTTCAGAAACAACTCGATGGGAGAGGGYCTTTAGGAGAAATGGGTGTTAATGTTTCTGACTCCTTTATGGACACTRGCTTTYMAGAGTGTGGRTTTGMYACACACMARTCTGGGACACAGATTTGGTGTCAGAATGATGGTGGACAGAAACAGTGCTCAGCACAGCCCTGGCCCTGCAGAGGAACAGCCTGCATGTGCAGGACTGGGTGTATTTATGCCAATAAAAGTGAATTATTTTGGTTACCAACACTTGACTTCGTGTTTTATCTTGCTCTGGGTGCATTGGAGCTTCTCCCCTCTCCACACACAGGGACTGGGCCASAAGAGCAGAGCCAAGGCAGTGCAGYCACACGAGGAGTGGCACTGAGGGCACTTTGTTCAGTGGAGAAAAGGAGCCTGAGGTCAGAGCTCACTGGGGCTGCAGCTYCTCCCRAGGGRCAGCTCTGATCTCAGCTCTCTGTGACAGTGMCAGGACCYAGGGAASGGCTGGAGCTGTGCMWGGGRAGGGTGASATTGGATATTTGGGAATTTCCCCAGAGGGTTCTGGGCATTGCAGGGAATGGTCCCAGCCCTGAGGCTGCCAGAGCTCCAGGAGCATTGGGACAGCACTGCCAGGGACGCCAGGGTGGGATTTTGGGATGTCTGTACAGGGTCAGGGATGGATGATTTTTGTGGATAATCCCTTCCAGCCCAGGATTTTGCCCATTCCCAGTCCAGGATGCCCTCACCAGCCGTTTGCTGTAGAGCAGGGCAGTGCTGCTGCCRCTGGCAATGGCCCAATTGGTGAAGTTCATCACGTGCTTCACTTGTCGTGACAGCCCWGTGATGTCGTTCTGCTGCTGTAATAACTTCATCTGCCTCTCCTTGGTCACATTCTGCAAAGGAACAGAAACTTTATTACCACAAGGCTTTCAGGTTTAGGAGGAAAATGCAAACTGCTGTCAGCTTTTGGATCAAAAGGGAAAAAATCCCTAAAAAATTTTAACCAATGCTAGGTAAACAAGAAAAGCCAAAATTTATGTAATTTTAAATGATTTCATGATCAAGTTGCTCTTTTCTTCCAGGAACATTCAATTTCCTTGCCAAATAATTGCTCCTTAAGCAAAAAAATCTATTTTGAAAAAATAGAAAAAACAATCTATTGTGATTCACTTGATCTTAAATTTTTCATGTCATGCCAGACTGGCCACATGCACTGTAACAATTTCTTACAATGGATTTCCTCTCTTCAGTTCCATATAATAATAATAAGTAAAATAGTAATAAAATAGTAATATAAAGTTAAATTTTCATGGATTTTAATAAAAGCCAGGATACAGTTATTATTCATAATGTGCCATCTGGAAAGGATGCTTGAACTCATTGTCTCCTTTATTATGCTGTATTATACAACTTTAAACAGCATTACACCTTTGTGTACAAACA